ATGGAAGAGAAAGTGCAGATTTTGTGTAGTAGTAAAACACAGGTGAAGAGAGAGATGTCTCAAGAGAGACATCAGTCTTCTGTTCAATATATTCCTTTTGATGACCCGCGAATACGGCACTTTAAAGTAATACATCCAGCTGACCATCAGATGGAAGACCAAGCAGAAGATGCAAATAAGAGTAGTATCATCTTCTGTAAAAATTCTATGGTTCAAGAGTTCAATAATTCACATGTCCATGTACCAGACTCAACAAATATTGCTGTAAAACGTAGCCCGGTCTCTGATAGCAGCAGATGGTTGGTGAAATCCAATGCAGATCAGGATAGTTGTGCCTTGTGCACCCAAAAAGACTCTTATGACACAGGCAACAATCTGAATACCGAATTCTCCAAGGTCAAACCATATGATCAAAGACCAGGTGCAACAGAAGTCTCCTCTGAGATACTGACGAAAGTGAAAGCCTTTGAACCTGGAACAGAAATTCAAGGCAAAAACCATTTAAAGAAAAAAACAAATGAAACTATGTTTTGCTTGGTGTCTGTCCCACCTCAACCTGAACTGCACATGCCAGTTTCTTCCAGTGAGACCAATAAACTGTATTGCAATAGACATGTAAAAGATCAGAGTTTCCTAAGTACGTCGTCTTCTGATTCGGAGCTCCAAGCCCTTGCAGGAAACATGCTCAATAAGAATGTGTCAGAGATAGATTTTCAAAGACTAGAGTTCAATCAAACGAATGATCACAGCGGCAAGCAGCCTCCAAAGCCCAAAAAATTAGAGTATTCTGGCTCATGGCCATGCAGTAGGTACAAGGACCAGCAAACACAAACTAGTTTCAGAGAAGAACTGCCAATTCAGCAGCCTCTTCATGGGTCACAACTTAGGAAATCAAACACACTGACCAATGGCCACTTCTTAAAGTACGGATCATCTACTACAGAATCAGCCCCGAGTAGTTTACCTATTGGTAACTGGAAAGGTAAACCAATTCCTCCCCTTAGGAAAGTTCAGCTTAAGAAACCCGACAAACCTGAGTGTCCTAGGAGTGAAATCAACCCCAAAAGGGTCCAGAATGAGTTGCATACTACATTTACAGGGCTTCCTGGGGGGGAAGACAAACCCAGTTTTGCCCATAAGGAAGAAAGGAAATCGCCTTGCAGTGTCAAAGAAGCCTTTGGGCAGTTTCTCTTAAAGCCTGTTAGCCGACGTCCTTGGGATGCAATAAGTGAATTGGAAAGTTTTAATAAGGAGATTCAAAAACAAGAAGAAAGGCGTGAAGATGCTAAAGAGAATGAGCAAAAGCACGAGAGAGAAGAGAAGAAAATGAAAAAAACAGAGGGAAAAGCATGTAGAGCAGATGATGGAAGCCAAGAATATGGATGTGGTGCAGAGAGAGAGATAAAATCAGTCCCTTCTATGTTTAAAAAGGGAACCAATAAAAGTAAACCAGAAAGTGAAAATGTTTCTAACATCTCAGATACAAGAGTTGCATCTAGCGACTTTAGGAATGTTAGTTCAGAGACGAGAGAAATTGATAAATCAGTTGGTCTAAAACAAAAACAGGAAAATGCGAGAAAGATTATTAAACAGGCTATTGGTTTGCATCCAATGAAATCAAATGTTTCTAATCCCTCGGACAGTGAAAATTCTTCTGTCCCATTCAAGAGCATTAATTCTAGGGAAGCAAGTGTTGAAAACCAGAAGGATAAGGATTCTGATAAGCTCAAAAAGGCAGCAGGCAGGAATATCCCTGAACCAGAAACCGCACCTGTAGCACCATTGTTTTTTAAAAGAAGGAACCAAAGGCGCTCTGAGCCAAAGTTGAGATCTGTTGGTTTGGATGTCAAAGAAGGAATAAGTATTCCCAATTCTTCTACAAAGAACATTCCACCAAATGAGTCTCTTAAGGCAAGAGCAGCTAGGATCCTGGGCATAGAGGTAGCTGTGGAATCTCTAACAGCTGATAATAAAGATTCAGAGTCTGATAACATGGCACACAGCAGTGAATTGTCAAACAAAAAGATAAGGGCTGAAATGAAAGCAGATATGGCTTCTTCCAAAGGAAAGCCTAAAATCAGCTGGCCAAAAAGCACTTTCATTGGAGAAGACATCTTGGGATCAGTCAAAGAGCAGTGTAGTGGAAAAGGAAAGCTGACCCGCGAACCGTCTTTTTGGTATCATCCTGATTCTAGCAAACGCCAAGAAGACCGTGCTTACTCTCTTGAATCTGCTAAGCTTCCTCTTGCTGAAAGAAAATCATTCCCTTCGAATGTAGAAAAGAAAACTAGAAGCACTTCGAAGGCAACTCTTCCCGTGCAAGGCAATGTTGCCTCTGCTGTAAGCCGAGCAGCCATGGATCGCTTAGCGCGGATGAAAGAAGTTGATTCAGTTTCTCGCATGAGACGTCTCAGTCTAAAGAATGCCAGATCTGCTGAGGATAGAGATGAAGACAACAAACAAGTCGGGAAACCAGAAGGGAAAGGAAGTGATTCTGCAGTTGGCCACACTGAATTTCCCCGCAAACCATCCCAAGGCAGTTGTGTTTCCAAGCGTATAATCTCACTGAATGAAAATGAACATTTAGGCAATAGGAATAGAAAGAAATCTGGAAGAGATTTACCTAGCTCAGGTAAGATACAAGTTTCTCCAGGATTTGTATGGTGAGTGCATTATTAGGTGCATACACATTTTCCCAGAGGGGTCTTAAAAAGAAAATGTAATTTCCTGTTTGAGTCTTAGATCTGAATTCTGCAGTTGCAATTTCATTTTTGGCAAGCAAACAGGAGATAGTCAATGGTTAGACAGGTACCCTATCAGATAAACCAGCTGTTTTAGGTTTGGGCTTTTTCTTTTACCGGTATACACCATTATAAATACCCTAGAGTGGAAGATGCTGTTATCCTGAAGGAATTTGCTATCTTCCGTTCCACATGCTCAGTCTTATGTTTTTAAACTCAAATAACTTCCAGTTTTGCCTGCAATGTTCACCCATCATGCTTTCCAGAAATGAATAGAGAGAAGGAAATATTTGGATCATCTGGGGCTTCATTTAAAGTAAAAACAGTTCCCCACATGCTGAATCTAAGATCTTATAAAAACCAGGTTTTCCATTTTCATATTTTCATAGAGTTGTTAGTTGCCTTCAGATTCTTAGTGTAAATGTCTAAAAGCTGAAGGTTCTTTTAGAACCATCCTTCCGAATAGTTCCATATAATTTTGTTTCTTTTTATTATTGCTTATTTCATATTGTTTATTCCAACAGTGGTTCCATATTGCCTTTGAGTAGGGGAATCAGTTTAGCTTAGTTCTTTTATTTATTTAGCGTATAAGAATTGCTTTAATCTGATCTTCCATCATTCCTAGCAAGATGACTAAACATCACAGAGAAGATGGGAGGTGGAATCTTATCATTCCTGGCAGACAACAGATTGGGGAGGATACCTTAGAAATTTGGTTGTGTATTAGCCAGATATTCCATTTGGGTTTTGAACAAAGGTGAGGGATTCCAGTAACTGAGGGAGGCGAGATTGAGAGCAAGATTCAAAGGTGTGTTCCAAACAGAATGTTTTAATGACATGTACTTTAATTAATTTTCTCACCTCTTTACAGTCTGCTAGGTAAAGAATAATCATATGTGATCTAAAATATGGGGTGAGTTTTTCTCTCTTCCCCAATAGTGATCCTGTTACAAAGACATTTATATTTTTAAGGAATGACTTCTAAGGTAACTATAAAAAGTAGCTATAATTTTAGAATGAGACAGTTGACTTCCAGAAAAGCCACAATGCAGAGATTGTCTATTTTATACAATATGTTGTGTTTTAAGAATTCTCTGAATCCTTTAAGTGCTTTTCTGCTATCCTTTATCAGCAGGCAAACTTTAATTAATATTTTTTGTTGACATTCCTTAGTTGTAAAATGAAAGCATATATTTACTTTGTCAACAAAATGCTTTAGTATGAAATTTTTTTTTCATGCTCACAATGGCTCTCTAATACAAATAGAATATAGAAGCTTAAGAAATAAAAATCCTATATAGATATAATTGTTATGAATTGTTAGTACTAATAATCATGCTCACTTCCTATTTTACAGAGGTCTATGATCCGAGCCGGGTTGAAAGGGTGTGATACAAAAAGAACTGGCTTTCAAGAGATTTCAGATCTTTGTGAGGCAGTTTTCTAAGTGGCACCATGTGGAAATATCCTTAAGCCTCAATGTTTAGAGTGTGTTGGTAAAACATCTTACCTGCTAGAGGAGGAAAACAAGTCTTTATGGAGAATGTATGCTTTCTTGAACTTGCATGAGTGTGTGTGTATCTGCGCACGCACAAAGACCTCTTAATCTGGAACCATCTGTTTTTCAAAGCATTAAGATTTAATGCCTCTACTAGTCAGGGACTGGCCATTTTTAAACTGAATTGAATAGTGTTCAGTCAGAATGGTAAACAGAATTTGGGAGGGACTCAGGGAAAGGGTTGCTTATTTCTCTATAAAAAATGTAAAAAACAGATTAAGAAAATTATTTTTGAAGAAAGAATGTGAATTTCTAAGTTTAAATATCCAAGCTTCTGAACTCTCGGCCTTGTTGAACATTGGCCACAAAACGGGTTGCAAGAGAACCACTGTTGCCTTTTCAGTTCAAGGAGATGCCCTGCCAACAGGACTGAATGCCGACTGACCAACTGTGAAATCAATTGGGACTTGGTCTGAAACGGCTTTGAGTGGAATTCGTTCCTTCTTGCATGTCAAGACAATACAGACAAATGCACCCTTGGAGGAGGTGAACCCAAAATATGGCAGAACATTTTGCAGCCTCTGATCGAGTCAAACCAGGATCAACTCCACTTTAACTGCTGTTCTGCCCTCCCTGTTGTGTAGTTCATTCTGTTTCCTTTTTCTCTTTGTAGTTTGGGCCCAACATTCTATGCACCACCATCTTGCTTGTTTGTTACAGCACACATCCTTTTCTAATCCAAGCAATCTTTTTGCAGAATGTGATGTAATTTTCTTTTATGTGAGCAGTTGACCAGTTCTTTCATTGGTAAGGTCTCTCCCCCACTCCCTCTTCTAGGTGAGTTTTTCAAAGAAACCCCTTAAGAAGCTTTATTTATGCATCTTCTACACATTCCACATTAGTCTCTCTCTACAGCTGCCACGCTGTGTATTATATTTGTTTATGTGTATATAAACAGTCTTATAAAGGAGGTACCTAAACCTAGACAGGCCTAATTTTCTTATTGCTTGGATTGGTCCTTTTACATGAGGATGTTGCTAGTGTTGGTTCAACTGATTACTTTCTACCAAGCTAATTGCCAAAAATAAAAAAGATCAGTTTAAAATGTTTGCATCCTTAAGTATGTAAATTTTGTTTGTAGGGATGCAAATACTGAAGTCTTATACTACAAATGTACCCATTAATAGAAATAGGAATCCTTTGCCACTATTTAATTCTTGGAGAAAATCTGGGACCATCCCTAGGTAATAACAAGGGATGATGCTTGTTTTCACTTGCATTTTTGGCAACTCTAGCAATAAGCAACAAAAAATATGTAATTTCAGTCATTGATGCTTAGTGCCATTTTTATTATGCTGTTGTTTGTGCCTATATTTAAAACTCTTGAGCCAGATTTGTAAGCACCATGTTGGTACAGAAACTCAAAAAATTACCCTGCCTTTATGTTTGAATATTATATTTATACCTGTTTTGTTTAATGGCAATCCAGGTAAGATTCATACTTTGTAAGCACACAAAGAGTTATTTTGTCACTTAGAAAAGAATTTAAGTTGGATTTAGGGCAAACCTTATTCATTTCTCCAAGAGTAATAGCAGTTTAATTTACTCAATGTTTATGTATCTCATTTGTCTGTTATTCTTTTTATTTGTTAATATACTTCTGGAAATAACGATCCTGCCTCCTTGTTTTGTGTCTGTTTGTTATTCTATCAAAACCATGTTAGCTATTTCAGTATTTCAGATTAATAGGTACACAAAGAGATAAATATGCACATATACACACATTTACCCACAAAGAACTTTTTGTTATTTGGAAAAATAGCCTGCTTTTTTCCCAGCAGCTATAATCCCTTATTTATAACCTCTGCTATTAGAAACTTATCTAAATGTTTAAAATTTATTATACATTAAGCAAAATAATATATAGTTTCTTACATAGGTTTCTTCCCAATCCTATTCTATTCTATTCTTCACAAAATTCTATTTTGTGTTTCCAGCAGTTAAAAGATACCAGTTTTTTTTTTTTTTTTTTGCTTCTAACCAGATTTTATCTGGTTAAAAAAAGATTGTTCAGTTTTTTTATCCTTTTTAAACAGTTGACATGGATACATTAGCCATTGTCATTCAGGTGCTAAATGTTAATTGTGTACACGAGGTATATTCACAAACATTTAGCTTGGATCCAATGCATTGTTTTTCTGGAGAATTCTGGGAGCAGAAATCCACACATCTTAAAGTTGTTGATGTTGGGAAACACTGATCTAATGATTTTACTGGGGACAGGAAATTCCCAAGGGAATTATTATAGCTGGTCCTCACGTAATGACTGATCACTTTATATATGTACAAAGGCCACAGAATGGGTGCTTTTTGGCCTACAAAGCATCCCTGGCTATTGAAAGGAGTTGTGGTGTCATCGTCCCCCCTGTAGTCATATGAATGCATGTCAGATAGGTTAGCTTTACAACTGGTTGTGGCATTCTGCAGTCATGTGATTGTGACTTACGTTTTTGACTACTTTTCTGCAAAAAGATACCCCTTCAAACAAATGGGTTCACTTAATGACTCTCACATTTACTTAATCACCACTGTGAAAAATCTGAAAAATTACTTCCCATCAACAAGTGTATCTTGTTTTATGACTATAACAGTTTAGGCTCAGTTAAAATCAGACTCCTGGGCTCAGTTAAAATCATAAGTTGAGAATTATCTGCACAAAAATCATACATTGCAATGTCCTACCTGTCAATGAATACTTCAGCTTCAACCATAACAACACAAGAGCACACAATAGATACAAACTCAAAGTAAACCACACCAAACTTGATTGCAGGAAATACGACTTCAGCAATAGAGTGGTCAATGTCTGGAATACTCTACCCGACTCTGTAGTCTCTTCCCCAAACCCCAAAAACTTTAACCTTAGACTGTCTACTATTGACCTCACCCCTTTCCTAAGAGGTCTGTAGGGGGCGTGCATAAGCGCACCATCGTGCCTACCGTCCCTGTCCTATTGTTTCTCTTATTCTTTTATTTTTCTTATATGTACCCATTTCATGTATTCACAACTATGTATACACTTATACTTATTATCTTGTAAACAGTTGGCAAATCAAATAAATAAATAAAATAAATAAATAAAAATCATAGTAGCCAGAAGTAGTCTTGATTAGGGGACTGGAGGCTAAAACGTATGAAGAACGGTTACAAGAACTGGGCTTGGCTAGTCTAGCAAAGAGAAGGACCAGGGGAGACAGGATAGCAGTCTTCCAATATTTGAGGGGCTGCCACAGAGAGGAGGGGGTCAATCTATTTTCTAAAAATGTAGGCCAGGCAAGAAATAATGGATAGAAACTGAACAAGGAGAGATTCAACCTCGAAATAAGGAGAAACTTTTTGACAGTCAATCAACCAATGGAACAGCTTGCCCTCAGAAGTTGTGGGAGCGCCATCACTTGAGACTTTCAAGAAGAGATTGGACTGCCATTTGTCAGAAATGCTGTAGGGTCTCCCGCTTGGGCAGGGGGTTGGGCTAGATGACCTATAAGATCCCTTCCAACTCTGATTATCTGTTAACTAATCTGTTAATCTCCTTGTTTATTTTGCTGGTAAAAGTAGCCAAAACCAAGTAAATAAAAGTTACTGAAAGTAAGTTACAAAGTTGATCATAGAATCAATAATCAGGGAGCAATTCACAACTACATTAATGCTAAGGCCTCCTTCCTAAAACCCACTAAAAATATTTGCACTTGTGACATACTGTGGTGCAGACTAATTAAAGGAAGGAGCCATCAGAAGGCCATTAGACATAATTTGAGGAACAAAATACTTTGCCCTTCACTGACTTTATACAGTTTATGCATTTAAAACAACATTATAAGGTTTAATTATGTTCATGTTAACTGCCCATTTCCCCCGACAAGGAGGGTAATTTGCAATCCATATCATGTAGGTGAAAGAAAAAGTATACACTTCCTTTTTCTGGTATTTATGTCCTACAAAAAGCAGCTTCTTGCATTGTAACAGGTTTTACATTATGTCACTAGAACCGGTAAAGGAATCCCCTCATGTCAACAGGATGAGTCAGTTTATATTTTCCTTAGTACTTTGCACAGGGAAATAAAAGCAAATTCTGGAAAGGATGGGAGAGGAGTGTGTTTTAATTAGATCCCAGGATTTTGCCCAGATAATGGCATAAGATCACATTTCTTGATCCATAACTCACTCATAATTTCGGCTCTTGGGATTTGCAGAATGTGCTGAAAATAATGCCATAAAGTTTAATGTTTGCTTGACAGGATTTTGCATTTTTTATTGAGAGTCAATAAAGTCATGACTCTTGGTCCATCAAGCCTTTATGCACATAGATCAGGTAATATTTGTAACACAAAATAAAGTATTTTAACATTCATTTATTCTAGAGGGGAAAAAAACAACCTTTCAGCATATCCCTTTAATTTCTACTACTCAGAGAAATTTGGGGGAGGGGCGGGGAGGATGACACAATAACCCTATTGAGAATACTTCTTCTCATATTCTTGCAAAGAAAATATTCTGGTTCATATTTAGCAAAACAATTATATATTGGGGACAGAAAGATTGGCAGTTCTGCTTAGTTTTCAAAGATAAAGGAACTGAACTCAAAACTTCTGGTATCTAAGTGGGACGTATCCATAAATACTGGTTAAATGTCTTCAGCCACTAAAGAAAACCAGATGCAGCTTATTACTAATTGCTTTTACATGTTCAATTATCTGTTAGCCCTCTCTACAAGGGAGTGGAACAAATGTTAAATTCCATAATCTGTGGTTTTCATATCATAAGGAAAGTCCTGTTCTATGAAACAGCCTCCCACCCATTCTGTGCAACATGTTGGCAACATTGTTAGAACAGTCAGAGCAAAGGGCTGGAGAACAATTAAACAAATACCATTATTTTTAAAGGGAAATTATGTGGCAGAAATTAGGAATAAACATGGCATCCACCAGCCAAGTAAATTACAATAAGATTATGCTTATGAAACCAATTAGGAATTTTCCATCCTGGGCAGCAAACAAACCCAAATAAAAAAAACAAACCCCAAAACATATTGGTGACAATAACTAGATTAAGAATGGCAGTCTCTGTACTTGTACCTTGAAGCAAAACGAGCTATTTTTCTTCCTCAAGGGAGAACTTTCACATAGGTGACACTGTTTTTCATTGTCAAAAATAAAATCCCCCTGCACTGAGGGTACCAATGCAAGGCAGACAATTCACTGGCGGGTTTTTGTAAGGTTAGGGGGAAGGGAAAAAGAAGCCACACAATCACATGAACATTGGAATAACATGTTTTCTTCTGGAATCTAAATATAGCCAACTAGGACTACCCATGAAAAGATGAAGGGCATTTTTGTTCACCTGTTTACAGGCAGCTATCAAAGAATCCCCTAGTACAAGCAAAGTTAAAAAGAGAATCCCTTATCCCACAGTCTAGAGGATGAGTGACAAGATGATAAGACTTCAAATAATAATAATAATTACCAGAATCTGTTACCACCTATAAAAAGTGAAATGCCTTGAGAGTTTTATAGCATGGCATTTGACGAGAACAGCAAGGAAAGGGAAGAAGGCAACTAAACAGGAGATTATGTATGTCTGTACATATGTATGTGTGCATATGTATGTATAGATATTGAGGCTTAGAACAGTGGTTGGCAGAATATCTGGACAGATTTTTAGCAGGTCAAAAATTTCTAAAAGAAGATAATTCAATCTTGGCATTTTTTCCAGTGTAGCGCAATCTTTAGGGGCCCACAGCAATTGCAAATAAATATGGTTGGGCCTTTGCTTTTCAGTGTGCCTGCTTCCTATCTTTTCTTAAGAATGTAAAAAAAGGGAGGGGAGGACATTAGTGTGTAGCAAAGGATGCCCGCCTCAGTCCCCTGCACAAGGGTCTAAGGCAATGATGGCAAAACTTTTTGGCTCGATGTGTCAAAAAATCCAGAAACGGCCTAACTTGACTCTACTGGCAGAAGAGAAACAATTCTGTCTCCCTCACGTCTGGGCCACCCTGAGTAGAAGCACTCGGTTGCAACGCAAAGACTGGGCCTGAAGCAGAAGCCCAGCTCTCCACTTCAGCCCTAGTGTCACCATGTGAGCCTTGGAGAATGACACAATTTCCCTCAGTCCAGAGCTCCCCAAGATCACACTCTTTGGGAACCCTTCTCTTTCTGGTCATAGGTCCCTATAGCCAGGGCTGTCTTAGCAGATTATGGGCCCCGGGCAAAGCAGTGTATTGGGGCCCCTATGACAACTACTCACAGGAATAAAAATGTAAATGGTCGATAAAATTAAACATATATTTGCATGTTAGTATTAATAAAAATACAGTAAAATGTAATAAATATGTTGCTATATTTACATGATACAAGGTACATTAAAGGGTTAATTATATACAAATTAGTTTGGGGCCCCTATGCTTTTGGGGTCCAGGGGCAAATGCCCATCAGGCCCATGCATTACGATAGCCCTGCCTATACCTTACCCAAGATTGTTGTAGGTACCACAAGGTCTTCTTTCCAACTTTGGAGAATGTCCTCCATGACCTTTGTGGCCTCCGAAAGCTACACA